TTACAAACAAGCACTTTTCTTCTACGACAAAGCTTCACAAATTTATCAAACTCATTCCAGTTCTATTCATTTAGATATGTCTGTAATTTACAATGATATCGGTTCAGTATATAAAAACACAGAAGAATACACAAAAGCACTAGAGTATTTTCAAATGGCACTTGATTATCAAGATAAATCTAATCCTTTAGCTCATTCAAATTTGGTTCTTATCTATAATAATATGGCTGAAGTACACAAAGTGATGAAACAATATTCAGATGCTTTGAATATTCTTGAAAAACTTTCGACTACTTATAAACGATCATCAGTTCTTTACGATTATCCAACTATGTCTATTATTTATATAAGTAAGGCTGAAGTATATTTTGATATGGGATCTTATTCGGAAGCATTGGAACTATTTCGAAAAGTATCTAATATGTATAAATGTTGTCATCCACAAAATTTTATCGATATAGCTAATGTTTATAATCGCATTGGTGAAATCTATCAAAGATGGGACAAGCATCTCAAGGCATTCGCATACTATGAACAATCACTTAAAAATTATCATATTGCATTTAATATTTTATTCAAACAATTACCAATGAATGTATCAAATTTAGCTATACTCTATAGTAAAATAGCTCATGTACATACAAATATGAACAATTATTCAATGGCACTTACACTGTATCAAAAATCACTTGAAATCTTAGAAAGATCTTTCCAGTTCAAACATCCAGACTTAGCATCGACATACGCAAATATTGGTCACATATATAAAAATATGGGTAAACATGACAAAGCACTTATATCATACAGACAAGCTATGAAAATCGCACGGCAATCATTGCCTGAAAATCATCGTCATTTTCTAATATATCAAAAATATGTTACGGAATTTCAACAAACGTTTCAATGAACTTTGAGTTCAAGTCGAACAGATTTTTTTCATTTTATTTTTAAGATTATTTAATGTCAAATTGTGCTTTTATAAATCTACAAACAGTTAAATATATTAATCGTTCTAAAATAAAACAGTATTTGTAGGACGAAATTGTCATCAGAAATGTTTTATAAATAGCAATGGATATAGATGGACAGAATTACAAAGGAATAAATCACATCCTAACCATCGAGTGGGGATAGATATTGATATTTAGTTCATCAGATTTCATTTTGTTCTTCATAGTCATTTTATAAAAATGTATTTATTGTGTATAGTCGTTATCGATCACGTGTACTGATAAAGAAAAAACCTACTAATAAAAAAAAAGAAAGAGAACACAATATTTCATCATACAAAAGTAATATCTGACTCATCTGATGAAAGTACAAAACAATAACGCACACAATAATAAAGAAAAGTAGTAGTTACACAACATTCAAAATTAAACTATCTTCTTTTTTTTCATTTTTCACTAAATTTAAATTGATACGATACTCTTATATGTTCATTTTGTAGACGAAACATGTCGACGATAACATTTATTGCCAAAAAACGTACATATATTATTCCACAAGTTGATGTTACTTTTCAAACTCTGACAAATCTATTCTTTATTGATAAAAAATATCGACCATGTCCTAATTTGGAGTTAGTTATTCGTCAGTTGAACTTTGATTTCTATCATGATCTTCTTCCTATTATTGCTCGATGGGCTTCAGATCATACTCAATCAAATTCAATTATACCACTTCAAGCAGGTACTACTGCTCGTGTTACTTATACATCTAGCCAAGCTCGTTATATTCTTGCAAATGCATTTTTTCTTAATACAACGACAGGATACGGTAGTATTGATTTTATCGATATATACCATGTACCATTTGATCGAGTAGCTATCGAACGAATACGATGTTTAATTGAATATTTCAGACTTTCATCGCAACAAGAAGAAAATAACAATGATCATCGAATTATTTCAATCGAACGATATTCTTATGGTGAGGAATTACTCGATTGGAAAAAACAATTGGTTCAAATTCAAGAATCCAAAATAAATGTGTTTATCGATCGAATGGAAGCATCCGAAGAGGCACATGGCTTTGTAGATTTTGCTAATAAAAAAATTCATATTCATTCGATCATGCCATCAGCCACGCAAGAAGAAATTTTATGTAAGATATTGCTTTATAAAGCTCTTTTTCTTTTGTAAAAAAACTATTTTTCGTTTTTATTCTAGTCAGCTGCTGTCCTGAAGCATTTCTGGCTATTCTAGTATGTGATACACTACGATCTGATGAAATCGTTATACTTCGTGGATGTAAACGATTTGTTGACTATAGTGGCTATGGTGAAACATTTAAATTTGTTGGTTCACATCTAAATTATAATTCAACAAATATTCAAGATATTCTTATTATGGATGCTTGTTTATCAAATCATTTTAGTCAACACCATATCGATCGAGATTTAGGTAAAATGTGGGCTGCATTTTCCAAAGCTAAGAATGAAATCATTGTTACTGGTAATTGGGGATGTGGTGTGTTCGGTGGAGATCCCACATTTAAATTTCTTCAACAAGTATGTGCTACAAGTGTACTCGATCACATTGTCAAAAGATTGGACTATTCAGTCTATGGCGATGAAAGATTGGCATCGAAACTAAAAGACTTAGTGAAAAAATTGGAGAAGAACAAAAAGACAGTAGCAGACGTATATAAAATGATGGTTAAATATGGTGAAAATGAGAGCAGATACTCTTCTAAATCAAATTTTAATAACTATGTAAATGAATGGCTCAATGTTAAGTGAATGTAGTCATTGCAACTGACGACATGAACTAATAATAGAGGGTCTCTTATTATAACCACTGAACGATATGTTAATGTAAAATTAATAAAGAACTGAATTTTTTCAGGACTAAATAAATTGTTTTAACGTAACTGGAATCCATCAAATACGAGAGGTGTGGGCATGAGTATGAGTGCTATATATATCAAAAACTCACATTCACACCCAAAAACATCCTTGTAAAAAATCAATGTCAAATGAAAAGGGAACACGTTCCGTTGTAGCTGATTTTACCCATATTATGTCATGAGAGTCAAGAAAAAAGTGAGACACATGGCTTTCCTTAAGTAGAATGGATAGTGGCATATAAAGTGCTATGAGTTAGGAAAGAAATGAAATAAATAACATTTACCTCCGTTAAAATGCATCCTATCCTGATATATGAAGTCATGAGAGTTAGAGAAAATAGTGAGGGAGAATGCCTTCATTAAATGGAATGAATATTGACATATAAAGTGATGTATGTTAGAAAAAAAAACAAATAAATGATGCTTTTCTTTGTTAGAATACATTTTGTTCTGGCATATAAAGTCTTGAGAGTTAAGGGAAAAATTGAGAGAAAATGCTTTTCTTAAATAAAATGAATACTGACGTATAAAGTGATGTATGTTAGAAAAAAAGAAAAAGATAAGTTTTTCCTCAGCTTTAATATATATGTGGACACACATATCCCTGTCAGTGAAGAAAGAACAGAGAAGGCAAATACTTTCTCAGATTTTCTTACTTATATGCTCGTATATTATCTTGAAGACTTTTAGATTGAGCGTCGTTTTCTTTGATTTTTATGTTATTTGCTGTTTTCATTTGTGCTGACGAAAAATCATCAAATACAACGATATACATAGGGTAGTCAAAAAGTTTTGCAACTTCGCTATATTTATTCA